AGTGAATAATTAATAAAGAGAATGTGGAGAGACCCTGGGAGGTGCAGTACGTTCAGCCAATGAAAGGAGAACCCTGTGAGGGAAAAGACAGCCAAGCTGGACTTTCTTAACGCACCAGGGACTACTTAGGACTGGATGAAGAATTTCAGATCTTGAGAGATGAGAAAGAAGATGACAACGAATTGTTGGTGTATGTACAGAAGTATTAAAGGAGGATGGTCTTTAATTTGGGCATAGATAAGCACAGTTAAACTTAAAGACCTTATTTTTAAAACCTTAATTTTAAAGCTTTATTTTTTTCTTTAGTTTTAAAGAAAACTTTAAGAATAGCAATCCCCCAACTGACTCCTGAAGAAAATTAAGCTGCTTGTATCCACTGAGATATTAAAAACAGACAGTGACCTGTCCCTTTGGGGTGTTTCATTGAAGTCCCTGGGGTGGAAATCCAACCCCTGGTCTCTTTTGAATTGCTTCCTGATTTTCTAGTTTTCATTCTGTGTATAGCAGGCTTTTCTAATGATGTATCTCATGCCTGAGAGCTTCTATAAGCACAGATTTCTGGATTCCATGCCTGAATTTCTGATTCAGTGAGTCTGAGGAGGGACCCAAGAACTTACATGCCAAGTTCAAGGGTGATGATGCTGATGCTGCAGGCCTCAGGATTTCACTTAGAGAACCTCTGCTGTGAATCGTCCCAGAGTGTTCAGATGACCTTCTAACTTGCAGATTGATAGCGTTACTCTGACGTACCTTCACTGTAACAGTGGTTCTCAACCTGTGGGTCGTGACCCCTTTGTAACAATGAAAATACATCCTGGCATTATGTGCACAAACATGATTTAACAATAAAAAAAAATCATCGTAACAACCTAAAAAAAAAAAAAAAAAGAAAGGTTGAGAACCACGGTGTGTAGAAGAGCCCGGAGCTTCTTGAGATTGCATTCAGCAGCTTAACTCTGACCTCCCGTTCTGCATTGCGTTTCCTCCTCCTGTACCCCATTATACTTCAATGAAGTATATTTTCTATCTTCTCTGTACCTTTGCCCATACTATTTCCTCTGCCCATTCCCCACAGCCCTTTTAGGATTTATATCCATCAGGTTCCAAACTAATTTTGATAGCTTTCCTAAAGCTCATGTCAAGGAAATTAATTACTAGAACTGTAAGCAGTTGCAGAAATGGCATAAAACCACTAGATGAAGTACTGAATAGGTAGAGAAATAACATTCCCTGGGTGTGCTATGTGGTAGTTATTAGGAATAATGCTACTCTGAACACGTAGTGCATAGTGCAGGTTTTTGTATCGACATATGTTTTTTTATTTTGAGACAGAATAACTTTTCGAGACAGAATCTCTGTCACCCTGGAGTTGAGTGCTGTGGCATCTTCATAGCTCACAGCAACCTCAAATTTTGGGGCTCAAATAATCCTCATGCCTCAGCTTTCAGAGTAGCGGGGACGATAGGCCCCTGCCACAATCCCTGTCTAATTTTTCTGTTTTTAGCAGAGGTGGGGTCTTGCTCATGTTCAGGCTGGTCTCTAACTCCTTATTAGTTCAAGCAGTCTGCTTGTCTCAGAGTGGTAGGATTATAGGTGTGAGCCACCATGTCTGACTACTGGGCATATGTTTTCTATCTCTGGGTATATACCTGGGAGGAAAATATCTGGGTCACGTGGTAACTCAAGGTTTAATATTTTGCAGAGCTGCCAAACTGTTGTCCAAAGCTGTTGCATCATTTTCCTCTCCCATTAGCATCGTATGATGGTTCCAGTTTCTCTGCATCTTTGCCAGAGCTTGTCTGCCTTTTTAGTTTTAGGCATCTGGAAGGCTGTGAAATAGCATCTCATTTAGTTTAGTTTTGATTTTCCTTTTCCTAATGATTAATGTGGAGCATCTCTTCATATGCATATTGGCCATTTTTACATCTTGGAAGAAATGTCTGTCCAAGTTCTTCTTTGCCCATTTAAAAATCTAGTTGTTTATTTTGTCACTGAGTTTTAGGATTTCTTTATTCTGTATGTAAATCCCTTATTATATGCAGGGACTCCCTGGTTTAAGAATGAGATGTGTTCTGTAGGTTTGTTCTTAAGTTGAATTTGTATATAAGTTGGAGCAGGTACATTTACCTGTTATCTGTAATAGCCTCCATTTTGACTTGCAAATATTTTCTCCCACTTTGTGGAATTCTTTACATGCTTTCTCTCTCTTTTTTATTTTTTGAGACAAGGTCTTGCTCTTTTGCCAGGCTAGAGTGCAGTGACATCATCATTATCATAGCTCATTTCTGGGTTAAAGTGATCTTCCTGCCTCTGCCTTTCAAGTGGCTGGGACTACAATTGCATGCTACCAAGCCTAGTTAATTTTCTATTTTTTGTACAGATGGGGGTCTCTTGCTCAGGCTGATCTTGAACTCCTAGCCTCAAGTGGTCCTCCTGCCTCAGCCTCCCAAAGTGCTAGGGTTATAGGTGTGAGCCACCGTGCCCAGCCCCTTCTGTTCTCTCAATAGTGCCCTTTGATGTACAAAAGTTTTTTAATTTTGGTGAAATTCAATTTTTGCCTGTGCTTTTGGTGTCATATTCAGGAAATCATTGCCAAATCCAGCTTCATGAAGCTTTCTTAAGAGTGTTTTCTTCTAATAGTTTTAATAGCGTTAATTTGATATTGTCCATTTATATTGAGTTAATTTTTGTATGTGGTATAAGGTACTGGTCCAACTTCATTCTTTTGTATGGAGATATCCAGTTTAAACAGTACCAGTTTTGAAAAAACTGTCCTTTCCCCATTTAATGGTCTTGGCACCCTTGTGAAAAATCATTTGACTGTGTATATAAGGGTTTGCTTCTGTGCTCTCAGTTTTATTGCTTTGTATGTCTATATGGCTGTCTTTATGCCAGTACCATGTTGTGGCCTTGTAGTTAAGTTTTAAAATCAGAATGGGTGAGTCCCCAGCTTTGTTCTTCTTTTGGCTAATTAGGGTCCCTTGAATTCTTTGTTTCCTTTTTATATTGTTTATTGTTATCTTTGCTCATTTTTAAATTGGGTTGTCTTTTTATTGTAGAGTTGTAAAAGCTCTTTGTGTATTCTTAAGATAAGTCTCTTATAAAATACATGATTTACAGTTTTTTAAAACCATTCTATGGGTGGTTCTACTTTTTTTTTTACTAATAACAACTATTTATGGTATGAAAATACTTCTCCCAAAATGTTACTTTTAAAATAATGGGAAATGTTAAGCTATTTTATAGGAATTCATTTTATTAAAATTTTAGATTTTTTAAAAAACCATTTCCTAAGTGTAGTGGCCGGGTGAGGAGGCTCATGCCCGTAATCCTAGTACTCTAAGAGTACAAGGCGTGTGGATTGCTTGAGCTCAGGAGTTCAAGACCAGCCTAAGTAACAGTGAGACCCCCCATCTCTATTAAAAATAGAAAAACTAGTCAGGGTGGTGGCACATGCCTACAGTCCCATCTACTCAGGAGGCTGAGGCAAGAGGATTGGTTGAGCGCAGGAGTTTGAAGTTGCTGTGAGTGATGATGCTGTGGTATTCTACCCAGAGCAAGAGAGTAAGACTCTCTCTCATAAACAAAAAATGTTGTAGTACATTTTAGAGTAATATTCAGCTATGAAAAATGTGCTTGTAAACACTATGCAATACACTGGAAATTTTATATTAGGTGAAAATCTCAAACTTCCATATAGGAAAAATGATTAGCTAGAAATACGCTAAAATGTTCGTAGTATAATGAGAATATTATATTGAGAATATATATTGAGAATCATAATGAGAATATGAGTTCATAGAAAAATGAAAATATTGATTTTTTTCTGTTTATGGTTTTTAGATTTTATTTATGCATTTTTAACATTTTTAAAATATGTAGGAAATGTTATGGCCCAAAGGAAAGGTGAAACTCTTAGGACAACATAACATATACTAACACAGGGTATCACTTTATTATTTTACAGACACTGTCAATGCAGAAGTTAGAACACACTGTGTTTCCGCCTCCCTTGGTGTAGTCCTGAAGAGCAAATGCAGGCCACCATCCCTTCCTGGGGACTGTACATCTCAGGACAGTCAGATATCGAATTTCTAATATTGTCTGCATCCTACTCCATTTCTGCTGTTTTGTTAAGTTGTATAACTGACTCAGTGATACTGGACTCATTTACATTATCAGTTAGTTTGAAAGGTCTAAAGGAGCAGTTAGCCACTGAGAGTAAATACAAATGATGTAGTTTGTTCTCCATGGTTGAATGTCGACTTCAGGAGTTGCTTATATAATGCTTAATTTTAATGATTTATAAATCATTCCTTTGATAACGCTATATTCTGTCAGTCTATGTCTCTTTAGAACAGTGGCTCTCAACCTTCCTACTGTCCTGACCATTTTATACAGTTCCTCATGTTGTGGTGACCCCACACATGAGGAGTGGTGTCTCGGTTCCTAAGACCATCGGAAATACGTGTTTTCCGATGGTCTTAGGCGACCCCTGTGAAAAGGGAAAGGGTTGTTTGACCTCCAAAGGGGTTGCGAGCCACAGGTGGAGAACCACTGCTAGAAAATAATGCTTCGCTTTCTGTAAAAATCACAATTATTTGATAAAAATCTAGGTCTGTTGGGGCATTATATTTTTCAACAGAACTTAGAGGAATGATGTTAAGTGAATGTACTTTTTGATCTAATTTAAATAATGACTTTGGTTACTCACACATTTAGTTTGACCATTTCAGTTAATTTGGTAAAACAATCAGTTTATTAATTTAAAAATCAATTATAGAATTTAGCTGTGTATTAACTGTGGATTGGCACTTGTTTAGGCAGTTGTCAAATATTATCACAGTTAGTTGTGTCACCCAACTGATGTGATAAAAGAGTCTTACAAACTATTTTTTTCTATTGTAGAAACTGTATTAATTAGTAATTTGGAAAAGGGCTATAATGGAATTAAATCTTAGTTTAATCATAGCTGAAAATAATTTCTGTGTATTTTTTAGGAGTTGGTAATGTTTCTTCTAGAATATAATGCTGATACTACTGTTGTTAATGGGAGTGGACAGACTGCAAAAGAAGTCACTCATGACAAAGAAATCAGAAACATGCTTGAAGGTAAATATTATGGATCTTAACACAAATGGCATTTAATTTAGTTATAGCCAAGGTTCAGAAAATGAGTAAATGGCTTCTGGTATACCAACACGGAGGTTAACAAGCCTGTGCTCTAACGATAATATCATTTGGGAGTCCTTGATTAGACAGAAAATGATGTATATAGGAATTTCTTTGCTTATAGCTTTTGAATTCTTAATTTATAAAAAGTTATGGCAAGTTATAATCTGTTTTTCACATATTCAACAAAATCAAAAGCAGAAAATCAGAGACTTGAGAGAACAGGGCCAATAGGTTGAGAAAACATGATAACACAGGAACACAAAGTACAAGACAGGAATTTTAAAGTCTTGAGAATGATAGCGCTGGCTGATTCATTTTCTTGAGGACGTCATAGTAGTATAGCAGATAAAAGTAATTTCTTGCTAGATCAGTTTTCTTGTTAAGAATATTAGTGATTAAACTGCATTTAAGAAGACACATTTCATCTGTAAAAACTCAGAGGAATTTCTCTAAGATTGTCCTAGGTGGACCTTTTTTTGCTCATCAGCTTTTGTTAGTGTTTGTTTATTTAATGTGTAGCCCAAGATAACTTTTCTTTTTCCAATATGTGGCGGAAAAAAGAAAAAACTGTTGGGACACCCCTGCTAGAATGCCTAATATAGATAGAAGAAGACCTTTAATTTCTATTTTGCGAATAAAGATTTTGAATTAGAGTAGCAATTTCACATATACCCTGTGTTTCATTTCTTTGCAATTCAGAGAAGGACTGCACTGTATGATTTGGGTACGTGTAGAACATATTAGATGTGATTCCTGCCTTTTAATCAATTATGATGAGGTACCGTCTTTGATCCTATCCTATCATTTTAATTACAGATAGTTAAGAGCCGAGAACTGAGGTTTTCTTGACAGGCTGGAATGTTAGGTTAGTCTGACAAGTTGACATTTAATAAGGGCAGTTGCAAAGATGTGCTCTAAGGCCTTTCCAGAACCCAGACTAGACAAGGCCAAGGGCTTATTTGACTTTATGGGTGATGTGATTTGTCAGCTGATCTTGGCCTAGCCTGGGAAATAGGAGTGATTTCTGTTCTAATGAGATTACCTTAGCTACATATTAGGTCATTTGCAAATAGAGCTTAGTTAGGTCCTTGGCAAACTTAAGGGTTCATCGAGTGACTCACCAAGAACATAGGTAGACCAGAAACTATGCCATAGGGTAATGCACAGGAAATATTTTATCCCAGAAAGAAAGGCACAAGGAAATTATACTCAAATACTTGAAGAACTGTTACTGGGGAGGAGGGATTATCTTATCTGTAGCAGAATCAGGTCCAGTTGACACAGTGCCCAGGAATTTACCTTTGGGTTCAGTGTATTATAATAATGACTCATTATTAATGAATAATAGTCATTTGACTTTTTATTTTGAAAAAATTTTAAATTGCAGGAAAATTTTAAGAATAATACAGTAAACAGTTGTGGTCCTTCATATAGATTCATTAATTGTTAACATTTTGACACATCTAGTTTAAATTTTTATATATCATTTGATACTTATTTTTAATTATTTTTGTTAAACTAGTTGATATTTGAAAGTAACTTGCAGACATAGTGATACTTTATCCCTAAAACTTTAGTATGTATCTTTTAAGAATAAGGATTACTATAGGATCACAATATAATGATTAATTTCAGGAAATTTAACACTAATACAGTGTTATGTAATATACATTTTATATACACAGTTTGCCCATTGTCCAAATAATATCCTTTGCCTATTTCACCCCAATGTAGGATCTAATCTAGAATCCCATGTTGCATTTAATTATCACATCTCTTTAGTCTTTTTGTATCTGTAACAATTCCTCAGCCTTTGTCTTTCATCATATCTTTTTGAGAAGAAAAGCAATTATGGAATTGCTTGTAGAATTTTTTTATTTTCATATGATTAGATTTAGAATACGTATTTTTGGTAGGAAGATTTTATGGGTAAGGTTGTATTCTATAGCAGGGCATCAAATTAGGAGACCCATAATGTCACTTTGTTTCATTATTGGTGATGTTAATTTGATCACCTGGAACCCTGGAAAGGCATGTTTTCCCTTTGTAATTAATAATCTGTGGGAGAAAAGTTAAGACCATGTAAATGTCCTGTTCACTAATAATCTTTTAGCTAGTGGTGTTAACATTAATTGATAATGTTTGGTCTAGTCAGTTACTACAGTGGCGATTAGAAATTAGTGGTTTTCTGTCACGGATGAAGTATGTTTTCTGGTGTTCTCCTGCCTTTCAAGTGTTTTACTGTTTCACCTACTCTGTGCATGTGTGTGTCTACCGGGACATAGGTAGACGTCACAACCTCTGAGATCTCTACTAACTCGATTCTGATTGAAAGGAAGGAGTTAACGATATTAAATTATTAAATTTAAATTTTATAGGATAGATGATATTTTTGATTCATAATATTTGCTTTAAAACATTTATTGAGGCTCAATGGTGAGAGTGCTGGCCACATATACCGGGGCTGGTGGATTCAAACCTGGCCTGGGCTTGCCAAACAGCAATGACAACTACAACCAAAAAATAGCTGGGTGTTGTGGTGGGCGGCTGTAGTTCCAGCTATGTAGGAAGTGGAGGCAAGAGAATTGCTTAAGACCAAGAATTTGAGGTTCCTGTGAGCTGTGATGCTACAGCACTCTACAAAAGGTGACATAGTGAGACTCTGTCTCGAAAAACAAACAAAACAAAAAACATTGAGTTATAAAATATATGCAGAAAAATATACATTATTAATGTACAGCTCACTGTTTTCACAAATAGAACACATCCTTATAAATAGCAACCACATGAAACAGAAGATTCCTAGCACCCGGACTAGAATATTTGCTTTTCATTGGCAGGGTCATCAGTCTTTCTTGAGTGTCTTAAATGAATACAAGAAAGGAAATGTATGGGAACACCGTTCAGGAACACACACATAGTTGTTAACTCCAAATCTCCTATCTGTTTTTCTTTATGAGCCTGGACAACCTAGAAAGAAATATTAGGGTGTCCTTTATTTCCCTAAAGTCCGGACCAAACATTATTAAGCATTATTTGATGATTCAGTAAATGTTTATTGACCAATAACGCAGTGTGCTACACTGTCATAAATGTCTAGGACACAGGAGGGTAGGAACAGTATGTATCTTCATTAATGCCTGAGGAGATAAATTACCCCTTGAGTAATACATGCAGCTACAAGATGTATGTACCAGAGGATAGAGACCTCATGACTCTTGAAGAGCTCACAGTCCAGTGGCTGTAGAACCAGTGAGAAGGAAGATTGACGATAGTGAATCCTAGCAAAAGAACTGGCCACAGAGAATCTACATAGGGGCTTAGCCTCCTCCTGAGAGAGAGAGAGTCTGGATGTGGAAATAAAAATGAGAAAAAGAGAATGATGGCATATAGTACACTAGTCATTTCTCAAGACAAAGCTAAATTAGTTCCAATCATTCCTGAATTTGATATATGTGTTCCCTGTAATTTAAATGCAGTAATGTACATGGAATCTTAAACATTATTCAGCACATAGTAATTACTATTGATGAACATTCATCTATTTTCCTAGTCACTTGGTTCCCACACCTGCTTCTCTGTCCACGGCTTTAATGTAAGACCTGAAAAACCTTTTATAGTTCCTACCTTGCAACCTTTGCACCAGACATTGCTTCTTTTCTGTAAGACAGAATAATTCAAATCTAGCAGAAATCAGACTATTTATATACTCTGATCTCTTACACAAATCAGATTGCCACAGATAGATTACTTCTGTCAATGTTACTTTCTTTGCATTATTACTATTATTATTGCTTACTATTTCGTTGCAGCAATCATGATTTCTTTTCTGAATGTATTTATCTCTATTAGTTCTTTATGAGATTTTTGTTCTCCTTATGTTAAACATTGTTATTGTCATTAAATTTAGCCTTTTTAATTCTGTGAAGGAAAAAATGGAAGCCTAATGTACACATATATAAGTAAGAAAGATTAAAAAAAAATCAGATTGCCAGTTACTGTTTTTCTGCAGATATGCTTTGAGAAGAAGTGTAGTGGTGAGAGCATGGACTCTGGAACTAGCCTGCTCAAGTTCAAATCCCAGCTCCTCCACTTGTGGTGTGTGACCTTGGTTAAATTCCTTAACCTCTTAGTGCCTTAGTTCCTTTGTCTGTAAAAATCAGGATGATGGGCTCGGCGCCTGTGGCTCAAGCGGCTAAGGTGCCAGCCACATACACCTAAGGTGGCGGGTTCAAATCCCCAGCCCGGGCCCGCCAAACAACAATGATGGCTGCAACCAAAAAAAAATGGCCAGGCGTTGTGGCGCGCGCCTGTAGTCCCAGCTACTTGGGAGGCCGAGGCAGGAGACTCGCTTGAGCCCAGGAGTTGGAGGTTGCTGTGAGCGTGATGCCATGGCACTCTACCCAGGGGGATAGCTTGAGGCTCCGTCTCAAAAAAAAAAAATCAGTATGATGATAGCCACCACTTCTGAGTAGTTAGGAGAATTTACTGAGTTATTAATAATATTTTTAAACTGTTTTTAATAGCACTTGACACATATTAAGTGCTATAGTTTTAAAAAAATTATGTGAAAGTATATAAGCAAATTGATACAAATGTGCATATACTTATGGCTTGTACATCTTCCTCCTGATACTGTTTCTTATTGTTTCTTTTCACATTCTAAGGTTTTGCAAATTCTGAACCCCATTTGTCTGCCTTCCTGGGGCAGATATACATATAACAGTGTTTCAGTATGTAAAAGTATCCATATTTATTCGTGATCATATTGTACTGAGTATATACTTAACGACCTCTGAATTGAAAATTAAATTCATCCGCATCTGAAGGAAATTGAACTCTGTCATCTGAAATATAAAAGCAATGAGAATAAAAATAAAGTTTAAGTGTATTTGAATTACAATTTAAAACATTTTGATTTTGGTCAGTGTAATCACTTTATTCTTTATATGTCTCAGTAGTGAATTTGTTAATCAGCTTCATTAGTGGCAGTGAGTGATATGTGCTTTCCTTTTGCAGCTGTAGAAAGGACTCAGCAGAGAAAGCTTGAGGAATTACTTTTAGCAGCAGCAAGAGAAGGCAAGACAACAGAACTCACAGCTCTGGTAAGACAAAAACCCCACAATGCCAAAAAGTGTCATTTCTTTACTTTACACTTCAGAGAAATTTCTACTTAACATTAAGTTCATAATTTAGTCAAAGTGTGGGACCAAAAACTCCAGAGATCATAACAATAGAATAGAAGTCCTTAAATATCGAAAAACATGTAGAAGTGTAATGGTTTAAACAGGTCACATCTTAAAGGCTGCGTTCTTTCTGAATTTCTGATTTATGTATCTACTCTAGCCCCTCCACAAAGCCTGATGGGTAATGGAAAAGAATCTGATTTTTCATGGCAAATAGCTAATATAAGGACAATTAACAAATGTTTTTCAAATTAAACCAATTTGAAATTGAAGCACAACATATAGAACTCTATAAAGGAATGCATTCTAGTTTTGGTGAGCAGTAATTTCTGAGAGAAATGCTATGCTTCTAGAAAGTAACACCAGAGAAGAGACAGTATTTTGGAATATTTATATCACATGAGAGCAGACTGAGTGCTTTGCCCACTCTTTTCCCCTCAGGAGACCTACTTTCTGTTTCCATTCCTGCACAGTCTCATTAAACATGAAACTCTAAATTTGTTCTGCATTCATGACTGAAGCATTGCCATTTGCTTTAAAGTTATTTCAGCTCATTCGAAAAGGCTTCTTTGGTTTCTAAGTATAGTACCTAGAACACTTTTTAAATTTTGTGCAATGGAAACCATATGCAAAAGCTTCTGAAGCAGTAAAGTTGGGAACAACAGATTCAGTAGAACTTTGACATTTACACGTTTAACATATATGGCTTTAACTCTTCTGCAGGACTGCCTATGGTAGACTGATTTATAATTTTGCTGTCACAAGTGTGAATTGCAAGGCTGGTGTGAATCACAAGTAAATCTTCGAAATCTTCATGAAATCTTTTTTAACAATTTAAAATTTTTGATTATGGGTGCATAATAGTTTTACATGTGATTTTTTAAATTAAATCATAGCTGTGTACATCAATGCATCAATGTACCTCAGTCATGGGGTGCAATGTGCTGGTACACATGATGTTATGATATAGGCATGCAATATGAATTAATCAAATCAGGGGAATCAGGGTATCCACGTCAGACATTAAGCGTTAGGAATATTCCAATTCCAGTCTTTTAGCTATTTAAAGTATATGCTAATATATTGTTGATTATAGTCACTTCGTTGTGCTCATGAAATCTTAATGTCCAGGGTGGATGGGGTGGTGCTGGCACAGAGGGTGTTGTCTGTTGTCAGAGGAGCATAGGACCTGGATCCAGGCCTGAGACCTCATGGCACCCGAGAAGGACATGGGCACAGCAGGCTTGGCTGGCTTAGTGAGTAGGAAGCCGCTAATGGTCTAGATGCCAAGGAACCCGGCATTCTTGGGGCTTTGCTAATATACTTTCCTGTGGATTATTGGTATGTAATTCTGCATTGCATTTCTTCAATTGTTAGCTCAACAAGCCCAATCCTCCTGATGTTAACTGCTCGGATCAGTTAGGAAATACACCCTTGCATTGTGCAGCTTACCGGGCCCATAAACAATGTGCCTTAAAACTTCTAAAAAGTGGAGCAGACCCTAATCTGAAGAACAAAAATGGTAAGCATACTGGCAAAAACCATGGTTGCTCATTTTGAAATTTTAAAATGAAGTCAACTGTATATAAAATTATTTTGTTTTATTGTTTTAGTATTCGGCCTTTGTTAAACTATATGGTCTCTGTTTAATTTTGGAGGTAAGGCATTCCTACAGAAGTAAAGTTGATAACTAAGATATGTAGATCCGACCTTCAATGGAAATATAAGTCCAGTTGATTCTTGTTATTTGCTGTAATTGTCTGTATGGTTACTGGCAACTTAGTGAACACTGAACCATCACTGTTAGGGGAAATAAGAGGGTTAGGTTCCTGAGAACCTCTGGTCACATTTTCATCAATTGGTCAGTAGGTTACGTTGTTTTATTGGTGTTTCTATTTAGAAACACCTTGTAAAATATATATTGTTAGCTCATTACCATTGAACTCATGGGCAGCGTTGCCATGACTCATGCTGGGTAAAGCTCATCTAGCCTGTATTTTTGCTATAAGGCACATCCGATGTTCTGCACTAGAAACACTAGATAGCACTTCAGCTCTCTGCTTGGGGACCATTTTAAACAGCAAAATGACCAAGAAAAAGCACAGAAATGTGGAAAATGTGACACTGAATAGCCTGTGACAAACACACCTGTTTATAGTATGAAACAAGCAGGCCTAGCGTCACCTTGTTCTCTCTCAAGTGGGAAAATGAGCACAATTTTTACCACCCTGGGCATGTCTGTGTAAACTCAAGAAATTGCACCAAGTATTGATTTAGGGATTACAAGTAAATTTTAGCAATGGGCAAATTTGCAAACGTGGAAGCCTTAAGTAATGAGAATTGACCGTATGTGAATACATGACAGTGTTAAAGACAGAATTGGGTAACCAGAAGAGAAGCTGCAAAAAGTGTCTTGGTTATTAAAAGAGGAGCAGCCCAGTAGGACCTTTCCATGTCACTTTTTAGGATGCTTCCTTCCACCTACTGACAGCCTGGATTAGGACTTGTCAGTGGTCCTGCAGGACTCTACGTTCACCTCCATCAGAGCCTAAATCACACTCCACGGTAATTGTTGGCTTTCCTAGTTGACTCCCAGGAGACCGAATGCCTACGGGCAGACAGTATCTTACTGTCTCATTTACCCAGCACCTAGAGTAATACAGAGCATGTAACACGTTGGAAGGGCTGCTTATTTGTTAAAGGTGTGGAGTAATTAAAAATAGTGTTTTGAAGGAATAGTAGTTAGGGGTGGGGAACCTGTGCCCTTCTGGATCCGTGAGTGTGGCCTTTTGACTGAATCCAAATAAATCCCTCTATTAAAAATACTTGTTCTGTGAAGTTTGGATTCAGGTCAGGGGCCCCAAGCAGCCTTGAGTAGGTTTTCTAAAAAAAATTTCATCTCTGAATACTTGAGTTTGTATCTCTAAGGAAAGGCCAGCTCCATGTGCTTTTTCTTTTTAAATATAAATACAATACCATTATTACTTAGTAAGATTGTGATAAGTAGGAATTTGGGAAAAGGTGTTTTAAGCAGAGGAAAGATTGTGAGAAAAGGCATTAAGTTGAAAAATGTACGTCAGGTTTAGGTGACATCGCCGGTTTGACGCATACAAGGGCACGTGAAGGGAGCAGTAGGAGGTCATCCTAAAAGGCACATTAGACTTTGGTGTAAAAGCCTGGCAGTGCCAGGTGGTCTTACCCCCTGATTTAGAAGGCCATAGGACCTTGGGAGAGAAATGAGTGAGCTATGGAGGGATGAGGTGCTTGAGAAGATTAACATGTTAGTAGGACAGATTGTGCCAGGCCCTTCGCTGAATATTGAGGGACCAGTAGGGGCTGAAATGATCTTAGGTGAGAGGTGATTAGCACCTGATCTTTAGTGACATCCGTAGGAGTAAAGAGAAGCATGACAATTTATTAGCCAATCTTCTGTTCCTCCTCTCCGGCCTGTGTGCTTACACAGTTGCTGAGCAGGGGAAATGTAATAGGAATCACGTATGTAATCTCAAGTTTTCTAGTAGTCACATTAAAAAGCAAAGAGAAACTGGCAACATTAATTTTAATACTATATTTTGTTTAAATTAATGTGTACAGAATACCATTTCCATGTGTGATCAGTGAAGGTCTTACATCCCTTTTCTGATACCAAGTCTTGGAAGCCTGGTGTGCATTTTATACTTAGAGTGTGGACCAGCCACATTTCAGGTACTAAACAGCTACCGTGATTAGCACCTACTGTACTGGACAGTGCCACCCTCTGGTCACCTTACTGTCCTAACCTTGCATATGCTGTCCCTTCTGCCAGAAGTGCCCTTTTCCTGCTTGTTTATCTGATAAAACCTGAGATTTACTTCAAGAGCTTGCTCAAAATCTGCTTCCCCAGAGAGCTTTCTTTATACCCCTGAGACAGATACAGGTTCTTCCTGAAATAAAAGTTAGAAGAGGAATTGGGGTATTGAGAAGGAGAAGTAACCAAGAGAAACAGGAAAAATGCCAGTTCCATGGAAGCCAAAAGCAGAGAGGAAATTTTATGAGTGTCACATGTGTGAGTCAGACTGCAGACAGTAAATGCTGAGTGTCACAACCCCTCGGGCCCCTGTGGCCCTGGTCACGATCACAGCAGGAAGGAACCAGGCCTGATGCGGATTAGAAGTACAAGCTTGTAGGAGGCGGGCTAGCCCTTCTCTGCAGGGCAGCCCTCCTCCCCCTCCCCCAGCAACCTCCCACTAGCCTTTTGTTAAGACTGACACAGGTGAGGGGAGTAATTAACAAATGACTACGTGCTGAAGGCAAGGACTCTTTCTCCACAAGGAGCACCTGTGGACGAATGGCCCCGGGGTCCACCCCTCAGCTGCAGATCATCTTGCTCAGAGGTCATCTAACTCGGTGAGGTCCCTTACAGCTGAGGAGAAGCTGCAGCATTCAGTGACTGAAAGTCCAGGGGTCATTCTGACAAGAGTTTCAGTTTCCAAGGGGTGGTTGGGCAAGCGCTAGGTTAGGGGTTAGGAATTGAGTAGAAAACAAAGCAGCTGATATAATACTTAAGAATAGAAGGGATGACTGTGGCTATGTGGAGGGTTTTTTTAGGCAAAGGGAAATTAAAGCATATTTAAAGTTGAGTAACAAAACAATGGAAAAAGTTCGGTGATTTAATTGTGACAATTAGAAAATGTAACTTTAAAAAAGGTATAATTTTCATGGTAATAGCAAAAACAAAATAAGTAGGAACATATTTGATAAAAGATGCTTAGTTTTTTTTATGGAGGAAATTATAAACACACTGAAGTATGTGAAGGAAGACCTAAAAAAAGGAGAGCCTACCGTGTCGTTAGTGGGGAAAAACCCAACAGTGGAAAGCTAACGGTTCTTCCCAAATTAATTTATAAATACAAAGCATTCTCAGCCAGAATCTCAGTGTTTCCGTAGAATTTGACTAGCTGATTATAAATTTTTATAGAGGAGTCAAGGGCCAAGGATTTCAAAGAGGAAGAGAAGCAAGGAAGATTTACTCGCTGGGCGGGAGGACTATTGTGAACCTGTGGGAATCAAAACACTCATTTGTTCAACAAGCATTTATGGAGTGTGTATGTGCCAGAAATGGGCGATCTAGAGCAGTGAAGGAGAAAAACCCAAACAGGCAAGGCGCCGTTTTCCTAGAGTCATGTCCATGTGAAATGGGGAGATGGGGCAGGTTTAGAATGTAGCAGTCACACGATCTGATTATATTGTAAAGACTGACACTCTAGTTATTATTTATTTATTTATTTTATTTTTTATTTTTATTTTTTGAGACAGAGCCTCAAGCTGTCCCCCTGGGCAGAGTGCTTTGGCATTACAGCTCACAGCAACCTCCAACTCCTGGGCTCAAGCGAGTCTCCTGCCTCTGCCTCCCAAGTAGCTGGGACCACAGGCGCCCGCCACAACGCCCGGCTATTTTTTGGTTGCAGCCGTCATTGTTGTTTGGCGGGTCTGGGCTGGGGATTCGAACCCGCCACCTTAGGTGTACGTGGCTGGCGCCTTAGCCGGTTGAGCTATAGGCGCCGAGCCTATTTATTTATTTTGAGACAGAGTTTCATTCAGTTGCCCTCAATAGAGAGCTGTGGCATCATAGCTCCCAGCAACCCCACACTCATGGACTCAAGCGATCCTCTTGCCTCAGCCTCCTGAGTAGCTGGAACTATAGGCACTCACCACAGTGCCTGACTAGTTTGTCTATTTTTATTAGAGATGGGGTTTTGCTCTTGCTCAGGCTGCTCCCCAACTCCTGAGCTCAAGCAATCCACCCACTTTGGCCTCCCAGAGTGCTGGGATTATAGGCGTGAACCACCCAGCCCAGCTACAACACTCTGGTTTGAAGTATACTAGACTATGGGAGGGCAAGGAAGAAGGGACAGTGGTTAGGAGGCCACTGGAATAATCCAGGTGAGAGATGATACTAGCTTGCGTCAGGATAGTGACAATAAACAATGGCAGTTAAGTGGTTGGAATTGTTTATACATTTTGAAGGTATAGTGGTCAGGATTTCCGATGGCTTGGATGTGAGGTTTGAGAGAAAGAGAGGAGTCAAGGATGACTCCACTGTCTGCCTTGAGCACCTGCAAGAATGGAGTTTCCACTTACTGAGAAAGGGAAGGCTGCAGGAGGAGCAGTTGCTGAGAATTAGGAGTTTGGTTTTTTAAGATATTTAAATTTTGAAATATCCATTAAACCAAGAGAGACAGGTAGAAATAGAATTTTGAGTTTAGGGGAGAAATCTGAGTTGAGATAGAAATTTGGGGATTATTAGCACGTACAGTTATTTTAAATCATGAAATGGCTAAGAGCTCTCAGTAAGGTCTTGATATGGGTGTTGGTTCAGGGTACGTAGGCAGACCAGACAGTTGAGAAATTAAAGCAGCTTGGTCAATGACAAAAGTAGTGTTGTAAGTGGGTGGAAAAAGGATCAAGTCAATAATGCTGGGACGGTTGGCTGTCTGTATATTTATGGGTCATCTTAGATGCCTGTGTCATATTGGTTACTGA